CCTCATTGTGATTTGGGATCAAGGTGTGGAACCCAAATATTACATGATAATCCACAAAGAGGGACGCAAGGTCAGCACTGGTTACATAAACACGTATACTGTTACATAGCAATAAATAAAAAATAAAACATTTCCATTGCCCCATTTACACTATCCTACAAGTAGTGCAATAAATGATCGATGTTTTCAGCTTGACTACTGTGCCCTAAATTTTTAAATTCACTTACTAATGAGAATTACCTTGAGAATTTGTACTTTGTTATAAAAAAAGAAACTGTCATTGTTTTCTTTATTGAATAGTTGTGCAGAATATTTTTTATACTTCTTAATATATGTAATGGTTCTTAGACTTGCCTGTTAAAAGTACACTCCACAGTCCAAATAAAAAAAAAAAAAGTATTTAGTAGACATAACCCTTAATGAATCTAGCATGCATTGAATTATTCCTTAAAAATTTAAATCGGGTTTATCTAAATAGAGCTTGCAAAAGCTGCAGATTTCGTGTCTGCTTTATGTTTGAAGAGTGTGTCCTCTTTTTTTCATTTTACAAAAAGCGCAGATTTCTATAGAAAGTGGCCCTTTTATAAATGAACCTGGTTACACCACCTGGCTGTCAATCAGATAACAAGTCCTGTTGCTTCCTGGTTTGGACGAAGAGGCAGCAATTGCCCAGAGCCCCAGCCTTGCAAAGAATTCTCATTGAGGTGCATTAGGAAGTCTGTGATTGGATATAAAAAGTCTGGGCAGGGTTAGAAGGGGAGGGATTGCAAAGGCTACAGACAAGAGATTTGCAGGTTTTGCAAGTTGTTTTGGAGATACCCCTAATGGAAAATGCACAATTAAATGCATGCATGTTTTCATTGCGGGTATAGCTAATAAACAGAGATTTTATTTATTTTATTTTGGCAGTGAAGTGTCCCTTTAACCCTTTATGCAGTGCTGAGGAACACAAGCTCTCCACATATTCTCCCACAGTCATATATTATTATCCTATGTTTCCCTAACTTGTGTTTCCATCCCCAATCTCTTCTCCATTTGTTTTTTCCTACCTCATCTCTCCCCACATTTGCTAATCCACCATTCTCCAACGCTTGTCCCCCCTCTTGCCCTTCGCTGTGGATGCTAATGTCACTAAGTACAATAATGTTTAATGTGGAGAACAGGAATCAGCTGCCAAAGGTTGCAGTACTCGTGAGTCAAATGCAGCAATGACGATTGCTGATGTGTCAATAAAGCTGTGTCCTTGGCACTAGGAAAGACGCCTGTTTATTCATTAATACATGACTTTACATCACTGTTTTACAAATGTCTCGAGTTATTCTTGGAAATCAGATGGGAGATAAGTTTGCTTCCATTCTGTTAGTTGTTTTATAGTATAAAGTCTAGCAAATCATCCTCCTCACAGATGTTAATAATTCTCTGATTAAGGTGTATTTTTTTTTTTTAATCTATGAAGTGATAACTCATTCTGTAGAACTGAACAATAATTAACAAGATAAATCAATTAGCAATAGTCTACATGTTAGCACCTAATAGCGCAGGATTTTTATAGTGCGAGCTGTTGTTAATGTAAAGTATGAAATTCAGGCCAATGTAGCAGAATTGAAGAAATTCTCAAAATATTCTGTGTTATCAGATTGGCTATTTTAGCCTCAAATTTGAAAGGCAACTTTTCAATTGACTTTAGAGAATCAAAATGTTGATATTCCAGTTACATTTCTGTGTTCATAACAATCACACTAGCAAATACTGTTATATAATTAATTACTTAATTGAGGCATGAATAAAATGCATACCTCCATTATGTTTTACCAGCCTAGAGATATCAAAGCTTGATTGGGAGACTACTTAATTTAATTATTCAGTACAATTATAAAGTGGTGTTTATTCATGAGATATTCATAAAATAGTGTTATAATTTGCCAAAATTAGAAAATTTTAATAAATATATATATATAATATTAAAGTTGTCAACATTGAAGTTGCTATTTGGTGAGAGAGAGAGAGAATATACACAGTGGCGTACATACCAGGGTCGAGGCTGAGACCGGGCCCGGCCCACCAGGGGGCCCGGCCGCCCCTGCGACCCAGTATGTACCTACTGTGCCAGCCTCTTCCCCTGGGGGGCCCAGGAGCCCGCCACCTCAGGGCCCCCCTGGCTGGCCCTGCTGACCCCGGCGGGCGGGCTGGCTGTCTGGGTGGCCAGCGCGCGAGGGAGCACTCTCCCCTGTGTGCTTCCTCTTCAGCTCCCTCGCGCACCGCACTGATACCGGAGCCGGAAGATGACGTCATCTTCCGGCGCCGGCATCCCTATGCGGTGCGCGAGGGAGCTGAAGAGGAAGCACACAGGGGAGAGTGCTCCCTCGCACGCACGCCACCCAGACAGCAAGCCAGCCCGCCCAGCAGCACCACTGGGCCACAGGGAATCCCCCCAGCACTCCAAAAGGTAAGGAGGCTGGGGGGATTAATTTTTTTTTTAAAATGTGTGTGTGTTAGTGTGTGTTAGTGTGTATGTTAGTGTTTGTGTGTGTGTGTGTCAGTGAGTGTGTCTGTTATTGGGTGTGTGTCTGCTAGTGAGTGTGTTACTGTGTGTGTCTGTTACTGAGTGTGTTTGATGTCTGTTAGTGAGTGTGTGTTTGTCAGTGAAAGTGTATGTTTTGTAAGTGAGTGTGTATGTATGTCTGTTTGTGAGAGTATGTGTGTGTGTGTCTTCAGCATTTACCTTTCTCCAGCGTCGGACTCCCTTGGCGCTGGTGATCCCCCCGCCTCTCAGCTCCGAATGCACATGCGTGGCAAGAGGCGTGTGAGCATTTAAACCGCCCATAGGAAAGCATTACTCAATGCTTTCCTATGGACGTTCAGTGTCTTTTCACAGTGAGAATCGCGGAAGCTCCTCTAGCGGCTGTCAATGAGACAGCCACCAGAGGCTGGATTAACCCTCAGTGAAACATAGCCGTTTCTCTGAAACAGCTATGTTTTCAGCTGCAGGGTTAAAACTAGAGGGACCTGGCACCCAGACCACTTCATTGAGCTGATGTGATCTGGGTGTCTGTAGTGGTCCTTTAAGTGTGTGTGCATACCGCGGTTGCGGGGTCACAGCCCTGCAACCCCTGCGACCAGGTGCCCGCCGCCATGTGTTGCGGCCCCGACCCGTGCCGAGTAAGCGCGGTGGGGGGGAGGGGGGCCACGGATCAATTTTCGCACCAGGGCCCCATGGGTCATGTGTACGCCACTGAATATACATGAGCTTAAAAAAAAAATTAGAAGAAAGCTTAAATGTAGTGATTGCTTAAAAGAGTGCATTTCAGGCGCAGTTTGCAAATCATGTAAAAGTGAAGTAGTTAGCACTCTTAAAGGTTAAAGTACAGTGCGCCACACTATGCAAGGAACTACATATAGCACATTCACAAGAGGACAGTTTTGCTTGACATTACATCAATCCCATTGTACAGCACTACAGAATTTGCTGGCGCTATATACATAATAATAATAGTGAAGGTCTGAAGGCTAAAGTAATTGTGTTCAGATCATTCAGACACAATAGGTAATTAGTTTACATAGGAGCAAAATCCATGGATGCATCTTCATTTCACACTGTCCTCTGAGCTGCCCTGTAGGGCAAACAACACATAGTCTTTATCTGGTTCAAACCTGCCCATAGCCAGACTGACTGCAGAACAGGTCTCTCTGATCCAGCTTCAACAAGAGTGTAAATTTACAATGCAACGTAGCTGTAGAATGGGATCATTTCATTCACTGGGAGAAATTTACTGAACTACAATTATGCCTCTAAATTGCAAATGTCAGGGCTAATATGTGAATCTGAAGTCCAAATTGCAATTTATATACTTACAAATGGCAATCTTGGTGAAAAGCTCAATCATATAGTGATGCAAATGTTATAATTCACTTATGACCATCCCAATAAATTACACTCATGCACACTAAAGTCTGACTGGGCTACATTGTATGGTAAGTAGCACACAGGCCAAATTGCTACATGTATATCCCACCATATGATTATCCCCCATTTCTACATATTGAGATTCTGGACTTATTATTATAGGTATTGATTTGTGGATTTTTATTTCACCTATTTTAGAACTTGTGTTTATTGTATATATCATATACAGGCTTTTACTTATTATTACTATTTTATTATTTATATAGCGCCATCAAATTCTGTAGCGCTGTACAATGGGTGGACGAACAGACATGAAGTTGTAACTAGACAAGTTGGACACACAAGAACAGAGAGGTGGAGGGCCCTGCTCAATGAGCTTAAATTCTAGAGGGAGTGGGCTTATCCACTTTTTTGGAGGGCCTGAGTATCGGCTTCTGGTCAGTCTTATACCTTGGCGGTCAACTGGTTTTGCACTGATTAATGATTTTTTTCTATTAAAGAAACAAAATCATGACATACAAAAACAACCACATCGATTAAGATAGTAGAGAAAGTATACAGGCGCCAATTAATTCATTGGTCATCAGGATACCTCTTAATGCCTTTAAAGTATCTATAACTGAAGATATTTGATTTGATCGTTGAAACCAATAGTTAAACAAAATAAAGTGTTTTGATTTGATTCACATACTTTACCAAGATATATTTCTGTTTCTCCTAAACTGAAAAAATAATTATTAACTCAGACTATAAAGAAAAAAACCTAAATTATATTTGACAGGTAAATTAACCCCTAAAGGAAAGAGGAAATTGTACAGGTTCTGGCCAAACCAAAACCATGAATTTGAGCTATATGTGTGCCAATAGGCATCCTCAAAATAAAATAGATTCCAGAATTGTGCAGTTCTTTCAGTTGCCATGATATTGTTTATTTTGACATGCTTGCTGTTGTGGCATCGCAAGCTTGCTTGTAAATCTTTCGCAAAACAAAAAAAGTTATAGTAACCCTTTAATTCATGAATGTAATTTATTTGGGACAGGTACTCAGAACACCCTATGTGGCTACTCCGGGTCCTCAGAGTTCATTTTATGATGGATTAAGCACCTTTAGATTTATGTAGAGTAAAATGTATTTTTGTTACAAAAATACATTTTACTCTACATAAATCTAAAGGTGCTTAATCCATCATAAAATGAATAGGGAGTCCATTGATTTGATTAAACACAGAAAACAAACAGGCAGAAATATATATATATATATATATATATATATACACACAAAGCATTTTTCTCTAATTTGTAAACAGAGGTGACCAGAGAGAGACCTCAGTAATGTTGTATTGCTACATGACACGACTGTATGCAGACATTGTAATCTTTTTGCAATGAAGGAGTTAACAGGAATACGTCTTCCTTCCTGTGATGCTTGCGTCTCAGCCAATTGTAGGCTGACTAACAAGCAGAGCAGTGACTGGCTGCTCAGTAGAGGTCATGCCTCACTCTGTACGCACTGCAAGGTGCAGCTTCCGTGTACTTAGAGATATGTAGGCCGCAGGGAGATTCAGTTCAGCGTGTTAGAATACAGTGTTCTGTCGTGGATGACTCAGAACGTTCTGATTATTCTCAGAAGTAGATTCTCACAGCCCAAAATAAGGAATACTACTGATTGTGCTCTCTAGATTATAAATAAAAATGCAGAGTTTCCAAAATATTTACAGCCAGTGCATGTCTTATTTGCCCTCCTTTATAACTTCTCACCTTGGCTTTTCCCACTTAGATTGCAACTTACTCAAAATCTACTGTGTTGGTTTGTTTCTGTTAAATTAACCTTTGTTATCCTCTTAAAATATCTAGGAAAGTCGATTGTATTAGCATTAACCACATACAGCAGTTGCATTTAACAAACCTTTTAAATAATTGCCACATATTCAAAGGGAAAACAAACTGATTCAGTACATGCTGGACAGGTTAAATGCTATACAGTCCCCCTATAAGTCTCATTTTGACCTTGTGAGCTTTGCAATACATTTCTTTACATACAAAGAAATTTTGCAGGGGGCCTTTACATGGTTATCCAACCTCCATCTTACTCTTTTACACAGTAGTTTTAAGAACATTTGATCTCCCCAATCGCAAAACCAACCCTGTACAAATTGGGTTGTGCATCTTTGGAATTTATACCTTGTGAAGAACATCAGGTATTACCCTGAAAGACAGGTTAGGTATAAAGCACATTATTTTAACCCTAGGTTGTCCATAACCCGGAGTAGTGCAGGTTTCCACAAATGAAACACTCCTGTGTGAGACACTTTGTGGAGAGCATTTTCAGCCCAACATTGAGAATGTCCTAGAAAAATAAAAAATGCCCTGAGCTGAAGTATGTCCGTGTTACTAGTTAACAGCCCCCTCGCTCTCACACACACACACCGCTCATTCGAGTGGATATAATGCTAGGAGTCTATGGGAAGGTTAGATACCAACTTTGACAATATTCAGAACTACTATAAGAAACTTAGTAACAGTACCCCTTTGTTTGAGCAGCTGTAGATCATCCTACACATTTTGGAATGTGTTTCAGTCTACTAACCCTACAGAATTAAAATCTAGTCTGCCATGCAAAGTGAATTAGTGTTACATTAAATGTGTTCTTTGGAAGACTTCTGGCCAGCCAGCACCGAGGAAGCCAAGTGTCAGCACCTGCTATGCAGACAAGGCATGTCTGGTATGCCACATTGGCTTGTGTAATGCCAAAATGCTAAGCATTTGCAGCCCTGCTTGTTAACATGTCATTTACCCAGCTCCTATGTCTAGCACATTTGATGTGTAAACACAAGGCAGCCTGGTATCACCCCACAGAAGATTAACACATGCAAGCTTCATCCATTTAAACAGGACATTATATAATCCTACCTAGAGAATGTTCAAGCAGGACAAAATACCAGAATTAGCCAAGCAAATCGTAAACTAAAAACTGTTAATTTTTATTTTCCACTTTCTCCTTTGATTTTACCTTTGTCCTTAACCTCCTGAGACCCAGCCCATTAACTTGTGTCCTCTGTACTGCACATTTCATTCACATGCATATTCTCTTTTGAGCTCCTCTTTCAATCTCTGCTGTATTGTAAAGATAACATCATGGGCTTGCCAGTGATATGTCATGCTGGGAAGCTGGAAACCTAAATAGGTAGGAAATCACAAAAAATTGGAAGACATTTTTCCTCTGTTCCCAGGAGGTTAAGGGGAGGAATTCCAAAAAGCAGGAATTTCAGAGAGTTGCAGTTATCCATGTAATCCTGCAGTTTATCTAGCACTCCTAGCTGTGAATGGATGTTTATAGAATATGCTTGGCACTAACAGCCTCATATGAGGTATCTATGCTCATACACAAGATAAATAGCTAGTGATTTGAGCAAATCAATGCAGTGGGAGAAAATCTGCTGAAATG